GTATAAAAAAATGGCAAACACGCAATCCAAAGTCGATACATTGGAAGAACAGAATTCCAAACTTATAGCTGAGATTGACGAATGCAATCACCATTCACACCTATATTGCAAAACATGCAAAAAAGTAGCGAATGGAATATATAAGCGATGTGAATGCGATAATTCTCGAATAATTAAGATTATATAAATGTAAAAAATTTATTTACAGGCTTATCGTTATCGTTATGCATAACTTATTTGTGAGATGGGGCACAGGCATTTTTCCGAAATAAGTACTGAAGTACTCTAATACAATTTTGGTCAATTACTTCATGCCACATAAATTTTGTAATGTGACTTATACTAAGCGATTTTGACGACGGGCCGTCGCTGAAATTTTGGTCATGTGATTTCAGTCATTGTTTGATAAATATAATCAAAAATTTTTTGAAGTTTTTCTTTTATAATCATGCCCGGTCACATACATGAATATTTTAACCGAGATCCTGCAAACTGGAGCATTCTCGACTTTCTAAATGAGAGCGACGAGGAACCGTTTAGCCTAAAAATAGATTCTTATATAAAAAGCCTCGAAAATATCGCTGATACGGAACAAGGTAGCAGGAAAAAAAGTGCAAGAGTCCTTCTTGATAGATACAAAGTGGCAAGTAAAAATCTTTTATATCTTATTTAAAAGAAAAAGTGGCGTGAACGGAGGCTTTCTGGGTCGCCGGTCATTCAAGGCTTTTCGCTGAGCCACGAAACTGGTGTTGGCGCACAGTTGACTTATCTGATGCAAAAGGCTTCTCGCCGATCCAGCACTGGACCCACTGGAACACAGGTGGCTTTCTGGGTTGCGATGTGTTCCGGTTGGATGAGAAATTGATGTTGAATGGGAAGACTATTAATTTCAAGTCTCCATGTTAGAGTCCCCAAACTGATCGCAAAAAAGCAAAAGAATGGGAGGATAAACGCTCGCATAGGCAGGTAAACATCCACAAGAAAATAATCGGAAATGGAAATGTGATCGGTGTGGTCGGGAATGTCAACAATTCCAAAGTTTCAGTTGCAGAGCCGTCTTTGAAGAAGAGGGATCAGGAAGGAAAGGTATATATTTTTTGTATATTTATTGCGTTATGCTTTATTCCTAATGAAGATTTTATCTTTAGGATGATGACAAAGTTCTAAAACGAACGAAATCCATCGATAGAGCAGAAAACATAGACGATGGTGAGGTAGATCCAGATTATAATGAGGACGATTATAGTAACTACGATATTGATCCAAATATTGAGTTATCGGAGGAACAGATACCGGTCCAAAGTCACTTAAAGTATCCTGATAAAGATAGTCCAGATGACTTTTGGGTGTTGCCTTCCGGAAAATCTATTGACATAATAATTCGTGCCCCTAAAAATCTACACAAATCACAGCAAGTTTTATATTCTTTATTTCTTTTCTTCATGTCTTTTTGATCTAACAAATTAGCCCTTGTAATTTGTACACTTGTATGTAGCCCGTCGTATTTAGGAATCATACGCATTGGATCAAAAATCAGGAAGCCAGAATGGATTGAGCAAAAGGATTGGGATTATTTAAATTCAAGTGTCGATTATCCGCATTATGATTTATCAACTGAGATCGAAGATCTTTTCATAGTACTATTAGATACCGTAAGTACAAATTATCTTAATGAAAATGTTATTTATATATATTTGATTTTTTTTTTATTAACCAATAACAGAATTCGTTAAATGAGTATAAAAAGTGTCTTTATAATATCACATTTGACCATGAAAATGATATAGAGATGATATTTGTAACAGATGTCTTATTATGGTTGTAAGTATAATGGTTTTGTAGGAATATTGTTTGTTTTTTTACAATATGCTTCTTAATTTATTTTAATTTTGAAGTGCAAAAAACGTATTCAACACTACATCGACTTTCCATAGTATAAATAAGAATGAAGCACTGTTGGGATCGCTTATGATTCATCCAGTACTACAATACCTTGTAAACGCAACTAAACACGTTATATACGTGCCGTATGTTTTTGATTCTAATATCAAATTAATACTTTCATTCTTATGATATTAAAAATACACGCTTTTTTTTCAAAAAATAGAGGTGAGATTTATCTTAAAGCAAGCGCAAATCAACGATTATTACGACGTAATCTTAAACCTGATGATGATAAGCCCTTGGGCATGAAAGTCGATGGTTCTTTCCAGTTCCCTGATGAGAGAGGACTCGAGATTGGCATGGTTGAATTATCTGGTGGCTATTTAACCAATGATCTGCCTCGCTATTTAAAAGATCACGTAAAGGGGTATTGGGGATGCCGTGATCTCCTTAATGATGTAATTACAAATTTTAATCATGGTGACTACAAAATTCTGAGACGTTTACGTGTTTGGTTTTTCCATGTACACGGTAAGTTAATAGATGAGCTGAGTCTTATATTTGTTAATAAATTGTCTTTGCTTGTGTACAGGTCTTGAAGTACAAATATGGGGTATGGATTTACCTGTATCAAAGGTTTACCGAATGTTTCTGATGGGCACCTTCCAGTTTCCAATCAGTTGGGAGAATCATCATGAACTGGTGCACGCACTAAGGGTTTTGCAAAATTTTAGAGTAAGAAAGATCTTCATTCCTTTGTATTGAAGTATCTCGTTTTGATCATTATTCTTTTCATACAGAGAGGCTTAGATGATACCCTCAAAGTACTTGAGGAATTCAAAAGGTCACATCGTCGAAATACACTTTTACGCTTTCAATCTATAGCATTAAAAAATTATATTGGTGATGCTAAGAGTTCGCCACAAAAACCTACAGGAAAAAAATCACGTATCATAAATCCAGTGGAGCATCATATGCACCATGATCATGACGATTCTGATTATGATGATCCGCCTTCACCATCCCCATCGGGACATTCTAGATATCCTCACCAATTGAACTCTGATTGAAGATGGCCAACTTGATAGAAATTGTGTGTGAATTAGGTTTTAGATTTAGTGTTCTTGTAATGTAATTATTGAATTATTGATTAGCGGTACGTTTGACATTTGCATTCTAAATAACATTCTTTAATCAACACCTTGATTACTTATTGACATGAATAATTGGGCAAAAGTGAATCTTACTATAAAATAGCTTATTGTGTGTAATAAAAAATCAATAAAGTATTGCACGATCATATAAATTTATTAATTGCATGATCTGCAATGTTTTTATTTTCTTTTGATACCTCGTGATAAACATATTTAATTCATATTTTTTTGACGACAGCCCGTCGCCGAAATTTTTGTTACATTAGTTATGCATTTTAAATAAATAATCGGGTATTTACAATCTATTACTAAAACATGCAATCTGAGATTGATTCATTGAGACAACGAATTTCTGAGCTTGAGGCTGAAAAGACTGAGCTTGAGGCAAAGAATGCTAAACTGACAAAACAGGTTACAGAAGAGAATGCCAAGCAAGAAGCTGAAAATGCTGAGCTCAAGGCCAGGATCGCCAAATTGGAACAGATAGTAGAAGAAAATACTGTGCTTAAAGATAGAATCATGAAATTGGAACAGAAACGGATCCAGGCTATTACTAATGAACGGGAAGCATCTACAAAAGATATTTCACCGCTAACCGAGAGCCATTCTCCAGAAATAGAACATAGCTCGACCCAATCTGAAGAGACAAAGTTTCGGCGTGAGCCAGAGCCTGAAACATCTACAACCTCTTTACCACAAGATATTATCGATGACGATTCAGTTGAGATCCTAGATTTTGTAGAAACGATACATAAGGAAAAGATTAGTAGTGAGATAAGAGAGAGGAACCGGGAAAAAAAACTTCAAGAATCACATAATAACTTAACTCCACCGATACAATCAGAAACATCAACCATGTCGACACCTGAATCTTTGGACTTGAAACCTGTGAGAGAGCTTTGGGATCAGAATCAAAATAAAAGCCAGGGCAAATTGCACAAGAAAAAGGGAACAGAGAATATCACTCAAGTGATAGCTGATGGCATTCAGGATGCACTTGTGCACGGTTCCACTGATAATATTGATAATATTATTTCGGATTCAAATCATGTGATTGAAATTTCAGCGACGTCCCTTCGCCAAAATTCATCTACAGTCTTGTTACTTGATTTAGCACAATTATTTGATAAGGCAACCGATGCTGAACATTATACTATGAAAGCTAACCAGGAAGAAACCTTATGCTGGATTAACTATGGAAATGAATTCATAATTCAGTATCATGATATTATAAAAAATAGCAATGGCAAAATTGGCGAGAAAAAAGCAAAAGGTATAATTTATGATAAAATATTAGAGCATCTCATTATTATCCGTAAAAGAAGATCCAAAGAGATGGGTATACAACTTCCAGAAATCTCACGCAAAACCTTATGTAAAAAGACTCAAAAAGCTGTAAAGACTTTTAGATTATTCGAAAAAATAGGCATTGACAAAGTTAAGTATCTCAAATCTTATAGCGCAAATTCTATTTCAGAACTAACTAATGAACAAATTCAAAAGATTATCGATAGTATTTCTAATTATAATAAATCTAACACAGAAATTTCGACGACGGCCCGTCGCCAAAATCATGCAACCAAAATTGCAAGTACACTTATCAAAGAGACAAAGTCCCAAGAAAACAATCAAGATTCGAAACAAGAGACTAATGTAAGTGAGGAAGCTAAAGAAATTCTTATCAGAAATGAATCAGATATAGATATTCTCATCCTTCATTTACAGCAAAAGTTCAAAATGTCAAAAAAAATATTAGATAAATGGAAAGCCGATATCGTTTTTGAATTCCGAGATAATACCAAATACTGGAAGGAAGAACGAGAAAGTATGCCCGAAGCGGATTTCTTAAAACACAAGAAAAACTTTGAGGCTAAAATGGGAGTCCCCACTACTCCGCATAAAAAAGAATTAAAAAATAAATCTTTAGCCCTTATTGAATATGCATAATTTTAGAGGTAGAGTAATAATAGCACAACATGCCATGACACTCTTTATTTCATTGTAAACAATCGCGTAAAAATAAAACATGGCGAGGCCACGGGACCCCCTTCTTTATTTAATAAAAATTGTTGCCGGAACAACAAACAAATATATAAATATTTTTATAAATAAAAAAAAGATTATCCTTCTATAGGGTATATGAGGAGGTGAATGGAGCCGATTCTACCATTTTCTTGGGGGTATGAACATTTGTGAACATTGATATACACTGTGTTAAAATACTTGGAAATTTTTTTTTGCGATTTTATAAGTTCTCCTTGACCATCATTATAACTATTTACAAAAGAAACTATGGCAGGGTTCGGTTGAAAAAAATCAACTTTGTATAGATCAAAATTGTTTTGAGATAAATTTGGCCGGGCACTTCTGATCTTGGTTTTCAGATTTTCGACATCCAAAGTATTATCAACAACTACCTCAAAAATATCTTGGACGGTCTCACCACGAACAAAACAGTTGAGGGTAATATTATTGGCCATTTTGTGTTTACTAGACATAAAAAACCCATGTTGTTAACTAAATATTATTCACGGGTAAAAAATCAAAGGCGTATAATAAACGATATATTACCTCAAAATAAAATAGAAATATATAAGCCTTTTAACCAAAAAGACCTCGAACAAAAAAACGCTATTATTTGGCCACCTTACAAGATAAAAAACCGCTTATTTTTATACCTTTCATTATCTAGATCTAAGACCCGACAAGAAAAAAAAAATACATTAATAATTACGTTACCCAAATCCAATGCCGGTTTTTTCTCCATAAAGCAACTCCGCTCGGTCATAGGTTCCAAGCACTGAACGTATTTTGCCATTTTTCTGGTGAAATTGAACCCCTTATAATCAACGATCGCTCCTGCGAAGTGAAAAAGTCAACGATCCCGACGATCTGGAATTCCAAGTTCCCGCAACATATAAATTTGGATAAAACTACTGATTAAGAATGTTATACGTAATTTCCTTATAGCCCTTTTAAGTCCCATTCGTGCATTTTCTTATCGCAGGATCGCGTAGGGTCTAGGTATTATTCGTATTA